CATGAACACAAGACAAGCACACACACACACACACACACACACACACACACACACAAACACACACGCAAACACACACACGCACGCACATGTACAAGAGCATGAACACAAAGACAAGCACACACACACACACATGCAAAGCACATGTGAGGACACCCGCGGCCTAGTGGCATTGTAGATTTGTTATGTTCCTTCGCTTTTTCGGCGTTACGTTTGCACAATTCAGTGTTTGCTTTGTCGTTTTTTGGTTGAACTCATCGTTGCAGTTGCTTCTTTTCCCTCTGCTTCTTTTTTGCGGAGAAGTATATTTCGCCCTCTTTGCCTTTTTTAGAAGAAGACGTGAACCTTGCTTTGTCCACCGTGTTCACTTTCGAGAAAAAAAAAGGCCCTTGCATGCATGCAGTGCGTAATCTGCAAACATCCTTTGCGTTTGAAAACGTCATCCATTCGTTCAATGAGCACCCACACTGTTTGACCATCTGTGTTCAGGGTCAAACCGATCTGCAAAAGATGAAAAATCAAATCCGCTGGCAAACCGGCAACCCAGCAGCAAGCTCGCAGCAAACATTACCCACTTCTTTTTACTACTTGGAGTGTTCAGCCTAGAGCAGGGATCCGTTTTTCTTTGCAACAATGCGACAGAACTAACCTTTCGTTTCCAGTTGAAGTTTGTATCCATAAAGGCCAGAAATTTTGACAAAGTCAAGAAAATAATAGCAGCAACAGCAGCAGCAGCAGCAGCAGCAGCAGCAGTAGGAGGAGGAGGAGGAGGAGGAGGACAGGATGGAGGAAGGTAGAGGAGGAGAGAGGAGAGAGGAGAGAGGAGAGAGAAGAGAGGAGAGAGGAGAGAGGAGGAACAAGGAAAAGTGAGGAAGAGGGAGGGAGATGGCGAAAGTGTAGCAGGAGAAACATGGAAGACGCAGGAAAATTTGCAAAGCCAAGAGAATAGCAGCAGCAGAAGAAGAAGAAGAAGAAGAAGAAGAAGAAGAAGAAGAGGAAGAAGAAGAAGAACGACAAGGAGGAGGAGAGCATGGAGGAACGGAGAGGAGGAGAGAGGAGGAACAGGGAAGAATAAGGGAGAGGGAGGAAGACAGCAAAAGAGAGTAGCCGGTGAAACGTGGAAGGGGAGGTTAAGTTCAAGAATGACAAAAAAAAAGAACACCTTTGGACAGCTCCAGTTTAGCTTCGGCACAACTGCACCGCCTAGTCTGTCTATAGCATCCCGAACCGCCAACTCCAGCTCTGGAAACGTTGGAACCTGCGAATCCACCCACAAAAAGGTTATGTGACATAGCAGACACGGTCTTCAAGTATCAAGAAAAATTGAGCCTGTGCTTATGAACAGAGGAGTTTGTGTAAGCGTTCGTGGCCCCCAAAAGGGCTTATTCATTTGTCCTGCCTTCCTCCCTTCCCATGTACCCCCCCGCAATGGCCTGACCAATAACATCAAGCTTTCCGAGCATGCAGCTGGACCCTTCAACAAGAGAGAGAGAGAGAGA